TTCCCTCATTAATATGCACGATTTGCCCGCCAAAAATTAGTGAACGGGAACTAGGACAATCACAGCAGCAGCAAATAGGACAAGAGCTAGTTTGTCTTTGCCCTCATTAATATGCACGATTTGCCCGCCAAAAGTCAGTGAACCGGAACTAGGACAATCACAGCATCAGGAAATAGGACTTTCATAATTACATTACGCCTCCGTGATTTTAAGTCACAGACAAGTTTGACTTTACTCCTCAGACACTATGAATTAACCAATGAAAACGTTTATTTTTTCTAACTAACCAATCGAAAAGGAAGACGTCTATCGACATTAAAGTAACTAGAAAACCTAAACCAACTAAAAATAACACACGACCTTATCTTAATGAGATTCCTACGCATTTTATTCACGAGATCAAGACAAAAGGTTATGACGTCATTGGCGTTAATTTATTCCTGCGCACGCTCAAAATCTGATCACTTGGTATCTCGTTGCGCCAAATACAATTTTCAAACTCTTCCAAAGTGGTCAACGGGTTAAAAGCCATGACTGCTACTGATCTGAATCTCACAGTTTGTGAATGATGTGTGTGGAACGTGAGCGCACTTTTATTTGGAAGACATAATAGATTCTAAAATAACCAATCAGTGTCGAAGGTTTTGTGAAAACAATGGGGCAAGTTCAGGCAAGTCTATTGAAGCATTGTCATGAAACCTGTTTTGGGAACCGATCAGTTAATGAGAATCCTCCGCATTTTATTCATGAGATCAATACAATAGCCTATGACGTCAGCGAAGTTAATTTATACCCCCCAACATCCCTCCTATACTACTCGGGCCAAACAGGCGATTTGCATGATGGCGTAATTTTACTAATATAACCAGAATCTTTTTCGTTTTTTCTTTCATATTTAAATTCGGTTATCCCAGCGAGGATTAAATAACAAAAGCCCTAATTTGCTCAAGAAAACAAAATTCTGAAGGATTCTAGCCGTGGTGCTAAAATGACGTCATCGTGCAAATGCCCTATTTATGTGAGGCGAGCACCACTGCGCCATCCCTTGCCCCCAAACTTTTAGTAATGCTATAAAATTTTGGTGTGTTTCTTTACTAAAATCCAAATAGGTGAGATCATGAATCGAATTTTAAGGATTATTACTGAGTTAAGAAAGGAAATAATATGCCGTAAGATGGATCATCTACCATTGAATCAGTCTTTCCATAGCTACGGACAGCAATATCAACAAAATCCAAGCGAAAAACAACACAGTCGCTGAGAATGTACCCTTCGTAAAAGTCGCTTCAGTGTCGCTTTCGTTTTCTTTAAGCCAAGCGTGAGATTATGCGAAAGGGGCGCGCGGTTAAAGGAGCAGATTCAAAAGAGCGGGGAAGCGATGGAGAGGGCTATTGTTTTGCTGCTTTTTGCCCAACGCCCTGGCGAGTCTTTCGTGCTTTCCACACTTGGAAAACGACTGCTACGTAGCCTACTGATAATGCTGCGATTTTCCTGGTCTTTCATAGAACTTCAAGGTGATAAGCTAAATGAAACAGCCATCTTAGGAGATGAGTCTTGCGCCAATTATGATACATACTGGAAGAGTAATGTCATAGTGTAAGGAGCGCCAGTGGAGTTTAATATTTAGAGGAATGTGAGTCATGTTTCTCCTGTCACTTAACCCTTTGACCCCTCTACATTTAAATTCTCATTTGTTGTCCGCGTACTTTTCTTATAGAAGTAGTGAAGAGAATTTGTTCAAGTATCAAGAATATAATTCACCTTTTGTGATTTAATTCCCAGGAAGACTGTGTTTTTAAAATAAAGCAATGATATTACAAGGCGAAATTTTAAGCTGATCACTCTTGTAGGGCCAATGGGGTTAACATAACTCCCGCTCTGAGAAAACTGATAAAACCGATTGCTTAGTACATGCTTTGCTTTGCAAACTTACCATGGAGATGGGTAAAGAAAGTCGAATAGATCTATCTATGTATTGAAATTGTTGCGACTTACCCCTGGCTATAATAGCAAATGCCAAAAGTACAATAATAATTTTCAAATCATAAGCGAATAAGTGAGATATACCCTAAATCAGCGGATAAGGCCGGAAAAGCTTCAGATCAAATAGCCAAATCATCTGGATTTTGGTATCAGATTCAAAAACTCCACCTCCGGCATGGCCGGATCAATTGGATCAATCAGATCCGTTCTTGGTTTTTAATAAAGAGACGAAATATCCGTTTTTAAATTAAATAATCCGAACTTGGGGCTTAGAATGAAGCAAAATTGATTGAAAGGTACTGGATGAGGAAGTCCACTTCTTGTAATGAAAACTGTTGGTAGAATTACGCTGGAATATAAATACAAATTAAAAATAAAATGGCGGTAAAATATCGAAATAAAAATCTTCCCATCGTACCATTTTCTCTTTTGAAGGTTTGAATTCGCTTTGTTCTTAACGAGTGAAAACTGGGAACAATATGCGATCACAGAGCTTCTTGGGATTGTTTGGAAGGACATCATGAAGGTCAACAAACATGGCGCGCTGCAAGTGCTGTGTTCTTAGCTGCACTAATAGTTTCAGACATTCAAATAAATTTTTACTTTTACAGAATCCCTTAAGACCCTCATGCACCAGTTTTGTGTGTCCTCTTTTCTTTAGTCAGAATAACCTTTTGTGCGTCTTTAACAGGTGGCTTGTAGCTGTCCGCCATCTTTTTGCTGTCCTCCTAAACGATCGCTAGAGCCAATGTGGTCATAAGTCGTACCAATTCTTCGCTCGTTTACAACCCGGCAATTTCAGTTAGAATGTTTACTGTTCGTTTCAAGTAATAGTTGTTTTCAGCTTGCCTCCGCCAGCTTACCGCGCATGAGCAAAAATGGAAGCTAAGACAGCCATTTCAAGAGTAAACAACCTTAGTTAACTGGGACAGTACAGGGACCGGATGCAAAGAAAATGAACGACTATAAACACCGGCCGTCTGCTCTATTCCTCCTTCGTGATCAGTAGGAAGGAAGTGTGAAAGCAAAATATGATGAAATAACAAAAAATCAGTTCAGCTTTGAACCTGTAATTAATACAGAATTTTTATGGCTCTTGTTACGGATAAATAAAAATCAGATAAGCCAAGTTTCAGGAGACATCTCCTTTGATCGGCTAAAAAAAATTAGCGGTAACAAAATCAAAATCAAGATAAACTCATGAAAACATGACAGTTTTCTCCACTGACCCAATTGAGACGTTTTCCCATTTCGTTTCTGTACTTTTCTCTGCTGCTACTCTCAATTATTATGTCAAAAGCAAAAAAAATCAAGCATTGAAAGAGCAGGTTGACGTTCTGTCGACGGAAGTTCTGAAAGAGACGTTTACCCCCGAGGGAGTTGCTAACTCTGGCGATAACAGAAACAATTTCGAACATCGAAAATGTGAGAAGTCTACAATTTTTGAGCGACGATGAAGACTTGAAAGCTTGTATCTCTGATGTCTTGGTCCCCCGTCTTGGTACAGCTTAAGCAAATAACTCACCGTCTAAATATAATGTACTCTGTGCTCATCAAGTGGAACCTGTTGGTAACGTCATTGATGAAGCCGAGAAGTACAGTTACCAGTTCAATGTCAAAATAATTGGTCTACCAGAGAAAAGTTCTAATGAAACTGCGCCTGAAACAAGCTCTCTTCGCGTCAAACTCTTTCAGGAAATGGGAGCTGAAGTATCCATTTTTGACATCGATACAGTGCATCCCGTATCAACAAGGAATGAAAGCGAAGGTCCAAAACCTGTGGTCTCTAAATTTCTCAGGCGTTTGGCGAAAGGGAAAGTTATGGAAGTTCGTCAACATGCCTCCCAAATTAACCCCACAGTTATCGACTTGTCTGATATCGAGCGTGGTGACGTAAGAATCTTCGATCATCCCCGGGGTACTCCTGGGAATTCTCGGTGGGAGTGTGCCGCCCGGTTCTTCAAATCCTGACCCGATTTCAGACCAAAAAATGCCATTTTCCACACCCGTTTTCAGACTAGAACTCTAAAATCCATGCCCATTTTCAAACCTGGCCTTTAGGCAGAAATTATGTTATCATTACTTAGATTAGAGCGCAAACAAAAAATTATTCAAATCCATTTCGAATTCGCATATTTCTCTTTCATTCGCATATTTCTCTTTCATTTGGAATTGAAACGATAAATAGGTTCATACACTCCGCAGTTCCCTCGAAAACTATACCCGATTCCCGACCAAAATGGGCAAAGTGTTTCAGACCAAAACGGCGCAAAACCTTACCCAATGGGGCGGCACATACCTATATGGCTTATATAAGGGAGTACCCCCCGATCATCTTACTCCGAAGAAGCAGAACCTTTATTTGAGGCGAAGAAATTCAAAGAGCGGAATCATT